AAGAAACAGAGCTGCTGACAGCTGCAAAATCAGGACTTTGGAGAGTGTCACAGTGTTTGTTTTCACACTGTTGTTTCAGGAATTCACAGACAGATCACATCACTGCTCAGGTCGATGGAGTCCCAAGTTTCCAAGCTTGGTGCAGTGATTGGTCGTCCAGAAATAATGTCTGTCTCTGAGGGGCTGAAGCTGGAGAATGAACTGCGCAATTGGCAGAGTTTGGCTGAAGACGCCTCTCAGAACATCTCCAGCATGCAGACAGAGAACAAAAAGGACAAAAACAAACTGGACATATAGTAAGTTTGGTTCAAACTATGGATTTAATGGGAAGACAGATGCCTTATTTATCAACATTTTGTAGATACATTTGTAAATTTACTCCTATGATGAAACTTTTTAATGTTCTTCAGTACAAGAAATTTGATATTTTGCATCTATCTAACTACATTTGTAAGTTTTTTGTTTGAGTTCGATCACACCCCAAGGAATTTTTTTTTTTTTTTTTAGCAATCTAAGTCACTAGGCTTGTATTAACACATTATATTTATTGCTTATGATAATATGGAATTGAAAGACACAATTGGTGAAGATATGACACAAAAAGAACTTAAGACTACATGTGTCTTGATACTGAAATTCAAATATTCCTTTGTGTGTTTGTTTATTCAAAAAGTGCAGAGGCAGAAAAGGTGTTAGACAAAGTGAAGGAGTTCATAACCAGCCTGTCCAGCTTCACTGATGGTGAGAACCATAGACACAGTGACGAGGTCAGTACCGACATGGTTCAGTCAAAAATGTTCAATCAGGTGTTGTGGAACAAACAAATTAGCTCCATGAATGTAATGCTCGGATATTACATAGACAATTCATCCAAATGACTAAAACCCCTCCTAAGATGTCGTGTCTCAGCAAGTCACATGGGGGCCAAAAATACTAGCTTTACTTCAGTATTAGATATTTAATTAATGTGCATGTTTGCTGTGATGTTACAAAGTGCTTCTCTTGAGTTTAGTGTTTGTTGCTCCCACCAGGTCAGTTCTATTCACATGGCTCAGACCCGCTGGATGTTGGATCTGTTGCTACTCACGGTACCAAACCATAGCGAGGACAACAACCAAGAACAGGAACACCACTACATTACAAACATCTCACTGCAGACACTGGATGAGGATGCCAAGATGCTGGCTGAGAAACTGGATTTTTTCTCCACACACATCAGCAGGTAGCACAAGTTTTAACCGTTTTTACAATTTGCAGTGAGGCAGATGCTGTTAACCAGAGTAACTAACAATTAGTGGATCCTCCAGGATTTACTTATCAGGAAATGTTTGCTTTTAATTCCAGCTCTTGCATGCTGATTCTGGAGGAGCAGATTCTGCAACACTCACGGGAAGTTGAGGTTGAAGATGAGATGAATGAGTGCAAAAGGATGCAGGTAAACAATGTTCTGATGCAGAATTAGATACATAGCAAAGAACTTTTTACATTTTGCAAGTACTCATTTTTTTAGGCACACTGGAAAAATCAACAGATGCGTCAAACCTACATTCCATTCTGACTCCAGAGGGCTTGTTGTTTTACTCTTATGTGTTCAACTATTACAAAACACCAGAAGAGGGAGCCATACTGCAGTTACAGACAAGGGCAAGATAAGCTAAGCAAACCTACATCAGTGCTATGTGTGTGTTGTCATGTCCGTCCTCAGAGGGAGTGTGCTGATTGGGTAGAGACCTGTCTAATCCTGCTCTCAGGAGTGAAAGGTGGTCCTGTGGAGCTGCCTGTGCGACACGCCGACCCCGCTTCCAGCAGTGATGTCCCACTCTCTCCAACAGACAGCACAGAGACTCTGGTGAGGAGTCCATTAAAATACAAACCTGATATGTGATAATTAGTTAATGATTAAATTGATGAAGATGACTGTGAAATTAATTGCTGACATATTTTAACTTAGTTTTCTCTGTATTATTGGAGAAATGACTTGAAAGCCTGGTGACAGGTGACTGGCAATGACACTGATGCTACAGTGAAAAAGAGCTGATGCCAGAGGAGAATTTGCCATTGATCAAGTATCAGATTTTACTGTAGTCAAGGTCCAACGCTGGCACCAGTTACCCAGTTAAGTTGGGATCACCTCAACGTAAAGTTTGAGATCTGGAAATTGTGAGAGAAGACAGAGGAATGAGACACCAAAGAGCAATTTTGTTTATCAGCATCAAAAGTCTGTGTTTTTGTGATCTTGTGTGTCTACAGGTGAATGAAGAGGTTTCAGCAGAGCCTACAGCAGACAGTGAGGTCAAAGAGGAGACTGAGGCTGAACTGAAAGAGGTTTGTCATATTAACAGTTCAGTGACACCATATAACCATTTAGATTATACTAGAATAGAATGTAAATAGAACAAGTTTCAAACTGAATTTGAAGTCTGTGTTTTGTTACTGGACGCACTGTAAAGGTCATTCAAACATTTTCTAGTGAGTTAAAAGTTGAAGGAAGAGGAGAGGCATCATTGATACTGGTAACAAAGGACAGCAGGCTCTTCCAGTAGTTAGACAGTCTGTAATTTAAACAGATGATGGAGGTTGAAGCTCCTGTGTCAACAAATGTCTGTCCTCTAAAAGTTTCACCTGTACTGTTAGTAAGTCTTGTAACAAATCAATGAACCTTTTGTCAACATCTTTAATCCTCTTTTCAGCTGATTGTATGCTAAAATATTTTTGCTTTGTGAAGTCTCACTGAGAGGGGAACATTACAGTATAAGTAACTATAGGCTGACTAATTACCTCAACTCAGAATTTTATTTTACTGACCAGAGCTGTTTGTTTTCTATTTATTGTATAACATGTACTACACTTTGTCATAATAAAGATTTAAGGTTAATTTATTGCAATAGGTTAAATAAGCAACATATTAATGTTACAGTAACCATGATGATGATGATAAGGGCAGTGGTGATTCTCTTGTTTCTCCACAGTGCGCTGCTGAAGGACATGAAACACAACAAGAGGTTTCTCAGGTATTGATATAGTTTCCATGAAGTGTACTGAGATAAGTTGTGGTCTGCACATTAGTGGGGAAAAAAATATTGAAAAAAAAAAAAATGATGTGATCTGCAAAATATCTTGTGCTGGTCTGGAACAGTGGAACTAGACATTTATGGTTTCTTGTGAAGGTCATCGCTTTGTGTGATGAAAGACACAATGTGAAAAGTGTATTTCTCTGCATTATAGTCATTGTCCCCTCAGGTCAGGAAATATTTGGAGTATCTTAAAAAGAAATTTAAAGCAATTACATAAACTCTTGTGAATACAGGATATTTTACAAATGGGTTTTATCGAAGGAACACAGCTTGTTTCAAACGTTCATTGTATTGTGTAACCAGACTAACTTGCTAATAATGAACAGTGTTGTTGTTGTTGTTGTCGGCCTGCAGGGGGAGCTAACGGTTTGTGAGAGCCCAGTTGTGAAGCTAATTGGCTATGATGGAAACATTACACAAAGAAAGCTGGGACAGAGCAGTGTCCACCTGAATGAGGTCAGACTATTAAAAATCACTTTTTCAGTGTTAGTGACGTGCTTTTACTGACTGACTGTGTCTCTGACCGTCCATCTGTCTGTCTCTGTCTGTCAGTCTGAGCTGGATGTGTCTCCAGCTACAGATAAAGCCCAAAAAGCTTTTAGCGATCTGACCACAATGGGATTACTGCAGCAGGAACTGCAGTAAGTTTACTTTTTATTGTTGAGTGGAACACTTATATCAATCGCATTACCTTTTAGAGTGAAAATCTGTTTTCTTTCTGGTGTGTTCTCCCAAACTTTCAATGTTTTTTTCATGGACAACAGTGTTTGTACTCTCTCTGACTATTATCTATTCTGTGCTGCACATGAATTGATTGCTTGTTTTTCTTGTTTAGAATAAGAATAAGCTAGCATATCCAGCTATTACCACCATAGCTGAATATCCATGCTTTTGTACTGCCTCTCACATTTAGTTGACACTTTTGCACCTTGCAGACTCACGTTTATTAAGCAAAATCCCGTTGTGGAAGTAAGGTAATTGGATGTCTACACATCAGCTGATTTTCCGTGGTTGTTCATAAATGAATAGTGGAACTTGACTGACTTGGTGATGTGCATAGAACATCCAGATTACATTTCTCTCCATGTGTGTGTCAGTGATTCAGAGTTGCGGGTCCAGAATGCCGAGCAGCGAGCCCTGAAGGCTGAGGAAGCCTTGCAGGCAGCTCTGGAGAAGATTCAGGACCTGGAGAGACAACTGCAGGGTCGTCCCAGTCTGGAGCCCAAAAGCAGTGAAGGTACAGACTAAACCAAAAAAATCTATAAACTTTAAACTGAGACAGCAGAACAGTATTAAAGCATATGGGTTGTACATGTCTTTGTTTGTGTTGCAGAGAAAAAGAAAACACCACCACCTTCCCCACCACCAGTAACAACCCCAGCTCCGCCAAAGAAAACCTCAGCAGAAACCAAAACAACAAGCAGCACCAAAAGGACGAAGAAACGGTGATCTGACATGTGATCAGGAGGTGTTACAACTTTATATTTATGCATGAGACTGTCCAGTTAATGTTGGGTGAGGTATATGTAAAATCACCTGTAGGGTTTTATATTTAATTTATTTTCTTCCTTTTTTTTAAATATTTCAAGAGAGGGAGATGGGGGATGACATGCAGCAAAGGGCCACAGGCTGGATTCAAACCCGGGCCGCTGCGGCAACAGCGTTGTACATGGGGCGCATGCTCTACCCACTAAGCCACCGACACCCTATATTTAATTTATTTTCTCTGTTGTATCAAGACTCATCGCCTGCACTCCATCACAGTCACAACCATAAAACTGGTAAAGGAAAATGACCTCAGGACATAATTATCTGGCACATGTAACAAATGCATGTACTGTCTCAGAAGTTTACAAGTTAGTGTAGCCCACAGGACACCACACCAGCCCTGGTGTTATTATTATATAACAGCTTGCTGTGATTTTGTTTGACCTTGTGATGTGGCATGTAAAAACAGATTAGTTATGGTTTTCTCTCAAAAAAATGATGTATCTGCAGACATTGCAACATGCCAAAAAGTTATCCTTCTCTGGGCATTTATTTTCCAACACAACACAAGCCAAGTTTATCATAAGTAGAGGCTCTCAGATCCTTCAGTGCTAAAGCTCATCAGCGTAAATTGCTCAAAAATCCAAAGCACTCATTTAAATAAACAATCATTTGGCTTAAAGGAAATTTCTTAAACATGATAACATCTCTGTGAAAATTACTTTTTCATAGTCTCTTCTGTTAGGTGTTCAATAACAATAAATCTAGAAGATTTGAACAGTAATAAGCACTCATGTCATAACAATCTGTCACATCATTGGCGAGTCTGTATCTGGCTCCCCCTCTGTTGTCCCTCCCTCTCCTTCCACCGCAGGGGGAGGAGGAGGTGGTAGAGATGAGAGGTCAGGGGTCACGCTGAGAAGATCTGGGTTGAGTGGAAGGACAAGGGCAGGATGGAGGAGACGGAGGGAAGCCCTGAACCCCTCCCAGGCATCTCTCTCTGCCTCTGTTGCTTTGACCTGGAGGAGAGAGGGACTGCTGTTGGAGACATGTTTGCTTTATAGATACTGCTGAGAGAGCAGAAATGATCTCACTGGCAGAGGTAAGCTTCAGTTGTCAGGGCTAAAGAGTCACTGATCTGCAGGTTAAACCAAGGCCACGTTCTGGACTGGTGGAACACAGCAAAACAGTTGAAAGCCTTACTTAATGTATATTTACCTATCTTCCAAAAGTTTTACAAATAATGCTGATACTGATAAAGTTCCTGAATAAGTAACAGAAAATCATAAACATTTAAAATGCAAAAAAAGGCATTAAGATATAAAAAAAAATGATCATTAGACTATAAAAAGCTGCCATAGTTTATATATTTTATCGTATATAGTTACTCACTCTGACCTGGTGTTGTCTCTTGGCCTCAGCCTCGGCAGCCAGACTCTGCTGTAACTCCACGGGAAAACTGAGCTCGTCTCTGACAGAAAATCAAACGCAAGCCTGGTCAGCAGGAAGATTTCAGCGCACTACAAATCTCTACATCCCTCTTTGCTGTTTACCTGGAAAAATCAAAGCTTTTAAAGGAAAAAGACTTTGCACACAGAGAGTGATGCATCTTTCCAGAAGCACTGCTAGCCCTTTGTCTTACACAAATCTGCGTCCTTTTCTTTGGGTTGACAGGTTTCCTCAGAAATCATCTTGATTCTCTTTAGTCATTTAAAGCATCAGCTGTAAATATGAGGTTTGCTGTCAGGCCCTGACAGTCAAATAGCTTCTTCTTGCAGCTTATGTTTTGCACAAGTATTCAACTATCATAAAAAATCACCTAGAATAAAACATCTTCAGTCTTACATGTCTGCTCTCTCCACCCTGATGCCCCAGTGGCAAGCAACAGAGTCAACCGCTGCTTGTATCTGCTGTCCGATCCTCCTCCTGTGCAGCAGGATGTGGCTGAACGTGTGCTGGGCGAGAATGTCTCTGACCGCTGCCTGGACCAGAGTCTGCAGCACTGTGGTCAGACTGGACAGAGCCGTGCTGCACAAAGCCACGTTCTCTATCTGGTAATAACACACCGCACTGAGCTCCGGCCTCACCATGTCCTTTGTCACCACCTGGGTACGTATGTACATTATGAGAAGTCAAATCCTAAAGGTTGAGAAACATTGTGAGAAAGATGTAAACTTCTGTGAGGGGCATTAAAGAGTTCAAGTGACAAATAAGTTTGATCTCTTTATGGACTATAAAAGATTTACTGTACATTCAGTGAGAGCAAAATGGAGCTACATGGTTCAATTGTGCTTTTCTTAATTGTTCTGTACCGTGTGAAGAGGAACCTTCAGCATTTTCAGTCGGATGTCAACCTTGTGACACACATCCAGGAATGGGAGGTAGAAAAGAAGGCCTGGAGAGAGGAGGGAGAAGGATTTGATCCAAGGACAGATTTCTAACATTAATGTAACAATTCACCAACAACCGTATCACTGCACAGAAGGAAGAGTGCATCTACTCATGGACGAGAGGCTTGCACTCGTGACAGTGCAAGATATAAACATTAATGGAGTCCTCCTCGGCTGAGCTGAACTTTAGCTAGCTCAAAGGTGCTAGTTGAGCTAGCAGTAGATGCTGCCTTCTGTGCAGTGATACAATTGACGGGTATAGTTTGACAGGAAGAAAATAGTTCCTACATGAAACTGCTCACAACAAGGTCTGTGGATTATCTTGAGTAACTGGGTCATGATCTCCGGAAAGAGACATCGCTATTGTAAAACGTATTTTTTTGGCACTTTGAGCCCCACAAGCCGAGTTCCATCTAGTTCCATTATATCTGAGAGGAGGCAGATATCTCTCTGGCTGATATCTCCAACATTTTGCAGCTCATACCAAAACAATCTAGACTGATAAATAGCACTACAGGAAAGGGCAAAAAATGTATTTTTGGCTTTGTGGTAAACTGTCCTTTAAATTACAGGTATATTTTTAAATAATTTTCTCACGACTGCATGATAGAACACATGCCGATGACTAAAACATTTTATCTAGTTGTGGGATCTCCAGGCTTGGCATAATACAGCTGTATGTCCTCTAGCCAACCAAATCCAACAGTATTCAAGTGTTTTGCATTTAAAAATTCACAGTAATCAGTGCCAACCTGGTCCCCGCGGTCTTCCACGCAGTAGGTGACCCAATCTGAAGACCACAGCTCTCTCATGCTCCCTCACTACCTGTCAATGACACAATGACAAACATCAGTCAGTCCGTATGAGCTGAAGACAGTGATGGCCGAGTGTGTAATTAACATACAACACAAGTAGACCAGCTTTTACACAGTACTTTTGTACTATAACATTTAATGTCGTCAGAAAGTTAGAGAATACTGGCATTGCGTTGGCTGTGTAGAAATTATGAGATGAAAATACTGACACCGACAGCCTGTTTTCATGCTAAAAATTCCCAATATTTACTTATTTCTCCAAATATTTTACGTCCTGTCGAAGTGAAACACACTAGAGAAGAATAAAATAGAGCAGAAAATACTTCTTCACCCTTTTACATCTCCATCACAAACTGCATGCATTTAGTTGTTTTTCTTCGGCCTAATCCTTTACAAAACTTCTGTTGAACAAATCACACTTGTTTTTTAAGTAGATTATTGTAGTGTACGGTTTCTGTTAGAGTAAGTCTGTGCTGTAGTGCGTACTTTGACACAGAACCAGATGGAAAGCGGGAACAAGAGGAGAACCACAGCCAAGACGAAGACCATCAGCATCCACTCAAACACTCCCAGGCTCTTGCGCTTCAGACCTGCAGAGATCCACAGTACTTAGTGTAAAGAAATCCAACCAAGATACTCAGATTAAACAGAATTAAGAGTAAAGGTGAGCATTTTTCTGAGAGCTCCTAAGATTTCCTATGAGTCATGATTTGCCAGCGGCCCAACACACAAATAAAAACAACTGTAAAGCTTCCCCCCTTCTACTTACCGTCCTGTTCCGCTGCTTCCAGGAGCCCCAGGTTCTCCTCCTTGACCTCATTGTCTCTGACGCTGTCTATGTCCACCACAGTGGATCTCACCTTCACTTCTGTCTCCTGCTCCACCTTCATCTCATTTGTCTCTGGCTTCTCCTTCTGTTGCCTCTCTTTCCTCCCTGATGATGCCTCGGGGGCCCGGCCTGCCTTCGATGGCCTTTGTCTGTGACTTCTGGGAGCCACAGAGGCTCTGCTCTCCTTCTCCTTCCTGGGCGTCATTCTGGATCTTGGTGAGAGGCCAGGCTGGACATTGGAGGAGTTCTCCATGCTGGCTGGAGGCTCTGCAGTCAAGAGCATAGGAGGGATGTTTCTGCTCGATGGGTCAGTGGATGGTTCTCTTTTTGGGTGATAGCAGCAAGGCAGGAGGAGATTTTGGGACTTTTGCCGCTGTGGGTTGCTTCCTCTGGCTGGAGGTTTGTAACTAGAGTCACTGGTGCTGGCTTCTACTGTACATGAGACAGAATACATGGATAGTTAACTAGGCTTGACTGTTTGAATGTGGGAGTAGGACAGCAGTGGGAGTGCCTCTTACCACCCTCTCCTAATTTCAAATAATTTTAGGTCAGTGAATTTTTGTGAGATGATATTCAATAGGCCATATATTGTCAAAGTTGTGACATCAAGTATTAAAGATACAGTACAGTAATATCATAATGATACTAAGTTATCATGTACAAGTTAACTCTTAATCTACAAGCCAAAAAAACAAACAAAATACCATCTCTCTCCCTCTGCTTCCCAGTTCCAGAAGGTGTTTGGTATATGGTAGACACACATGGTAGCATAGCTGCTATATATAAGTATACATGACCCAATAAAATCACTGACATCATTGCTTTGGAAAGTTGGTGGAGGTGCGTGCTAGTGGGTGTCCTGTAAGGAAGTTTAATTGTATGCCATTGAATCATGCATAGAACATGCTACTTGAGTGCATGTCATATATAATATAAAGCATGCATACTAATTGCATTCAAACCAGTATAGCTCCAGATCTTTGTGTCACTGGGTCCATTTGTTTGGATTGCATTCCTTCTCTGGTAAAAATCAGTGCCATCCAGATAGGTTTGTAGTCCAGCATTCAGCTTACAGCTGGGATAAATTGTGTCACTGGAGCTCAGGGAGTCACAACCTCTGTGAGAATGTGCAGACTCAGGTCTCTCCTGTCCAAAGAGCTGATGCAGTTTTTTCTCTGTTTTTACAGGAAAAGACACACACCATACTCCCTGATAGATCCCTAATTAAACTGGAATTTAATTATGTGGCCCAGATGTTTTTTCTGCTACAGAAGTCCTTAGTCTAATTGTGTGCAAACCCAGGCAAAGGGGACCAGTGCCTAGGGCCTATGATCATGCAGTGTAAGCCTTGGTTGAACCGGGGGCCAAGTTCCTGGTGGTCTGAGGTCTATGGCCAAATGTGTGAGTAAATATGGCACTTAATCCAACATGAATAAATGATGCATGAGTACCTTGTGAAATCCTGAAAGTAAGTAAACGTTATCCTGAGATCTAGACACTGAATGCTCCGGGAAACACATTTGTTTTACAATTTATCATCCATATTTAAATATATTCAATAATTTATCTTACTTATATGAATATTTGACGAATGTTAAAGATGTACCCTGGGCATAGATACACTCTGATACACTCTAATTTGTATGACTGCATATATTTTTCCATCCCAATGCTGGATATAAAGAGAAAGCTTAAAGCATAGTGTTTCCCGACAGTCTTCCATCATACTGACCCGATCCAACCCTGCTTAGCTTCCAAGATTGGGTGCATTCAGGGTGGTATATGGGTGGTATGGCTGGAAGTGCCTGTCTACTAAATAAAAAAGGTACATACATGCAAGGGCGTTCTCCAAAAAAGCAGCTGCTGCATCTACAGTCCAGGGCTGTGATGACGGACAGCTGCTTTGGTTAATGTTACTGATGGAAGTGCAAGTTGGTTTGGCGCCATGTAAATAATGGCATACTGCGCCAAAACAAGGGAAAACAGAGAGATTTGTACTTGTTTGAACAATTTACCAGAAATCTGAAGTTTGGTGTAAATGTTATTGTGGGCCCTGTTTTTCTTCTGGTTGTCATTATAAGGTGCTAGCACTGTGTTGTACAACTCCAGGTATTCAGACACCAACATTATCAGGTTGACACAGCAATCTGCGCACATTTAAATGGGTAGCAACTGTTTCATAGCCCAGCTGCTATGTTCGAAACCGCTTCACCTCTGCTACCTTCCTCTCATTGAAATGACTGTAGGCTGCCAGTTATCGTGTGGCGGTATGAAAGCACCTTAAGGTGCTAGAGTGCATAAAAAGGCATGAAAATAGAGCTTGTTCATCAACAAAAGTGTCAGTGGAGGAACCCGGGATCCCCTGACAGATATCTGGGCTAAGCCCCAAATATCCTTAAATCCTAGAAACGCCTCTGCATACATGTGACTGGCCCCGGATCTCCTGTCATTTTGTAGAAGTGGCCCTCGAGGAAAGCACGGACATGAATGCTTCTGAGGACTGAAAAAGCTTTTTTTTTTCCATTTGGAATGCCTTTCAAGAAAAATGTAGAATAAATATTTATGTCTTGAATTTCATTTTAAGTCACACAAGGTGGGCTGTTGTGTTGCTTCGAAACTATGCGTATTTTGAAAAGAAGAAAGCGGATGTTAGAGCTTTATTTGAAATTATTGTAAAGAGGGACATTGTTGATGCCGATGTTGGTAATGAAAACTTTTTGTTGCTGGCAACACTCTGATTAGTTTGCTTTTACATTTTTGGTTGGTCTGTTGATTGGTTGGTATTGAATTATTTGCTTCATTATTTATCCATCCATCCATCCATTTTCGTAACCGCTTATGCTCTTGGGGGTCCCAGGGGTCTGGAGCCTATCCCAGCTGACACTGGGCAAGAGGCAAGGTACTCCCTGGACAGGTCACCAGACTATCACAGGGCTGACACATGTAGAGACAGACAACCAGTCACACTCACATTCACACCTACAGGCAATTTAGAGTCACCAATTAACCTGCGTGTCTTTGGACTGTGGGGGGAAGCTGGAGTACCTGGAGAAAACCCACGCTGACACGGGGAGAACATGCAAACTTGCACAGAAGAGCTTCCTCCAGGGATTGAACCATATATATATATGTTTATTTATTAATTCCTTATTTATTTACTCACTTGGTTACTTATTGTTTGCATATTTCTTTGTTTATTTTCTTACTTATTTATTCAGTCATTTATTTTCTCATTTGTGTGCTTGTTTATTTCTTAATTTGTCCTTGATTGATATATTTTGGTTGGGTTTTTGTGTGCTGAATACTGAAATGTGGATTTTTGTGTCATACAATCTGTTACTTCAGTGTTTACATTGAAAGAGGTTTTTTCTGACTTGTTATTTTTCATAGTTGACTGTCAACAACAAATGTATTTTTTGTAAAATTCTGAATTTTTATAATGAAAAGATAATAATATTAACAATAATATAAGCAGTAGAGGGCGCTGCTGCAGCTTCAGTGGAGACAGAGCTTGAAACAGTGGTTTCAAATATTCGAGTCCCGTTGTAAAGCCTGAATTTATATATTTATATTAATATTTACTGAGAGTGTGGAGAGGTTTTGGAGCATATAAGTTACTTTTTGACAGAAGCTAATTGAAGCTGTTTTCAGCTTTACTTGTGCTGCTCGTTGCCGAACAACGTGTGTACGGCGGTGTGCTAGCAGCAGGTGTGGAGCGTGTGGAGGACTCAAAAGTTCAGATATCGTGGGAGGATGTGGCCGACATATTGAAGACTTAGGGTAAAGTTGTCGACTCAATATTTTCGGAAGAATTTGAACAAGAAAATACTGTTCAGGACCGTGTCTGTACTTAAACTGTGTATTAAATGCAGCGGCCAAACGTTGGCAGTCAACTATGCTAAATCTCCAGAAGGATCTGTGCTTCAAGATGGAGGCTAACGTTCGTGTTTGCTAATTTAACCTTTGAGTCACTTGTGGCTGGTGGCGGTGTGTCTGTGCAGAGCAAAGGTAGCTTGGCTAACGAGATTTTAACCGTGTTTATGGTGTGTTAACGTTATTTGAATAAGGTTATTAGAGCTATAATGGCAGTTTCACGTATGCCTGCTACTTTGGTAACAGTTACAGAGGGCAGAAAAGGGAGAGGTTCAATTCCCATGACCTCAACTGACATGATCACCATCTCCTTGCATTTGTGTCTGTGTTAAAGGGCAAGTCCCAGCGCCAAATTTAACCACATGGTTTTGTGTGGGTTTTTTTTAAAGCTATGCTAATTTAAAATGTATATGCAGCAAAATTGACTCATCAATTATACTGTAGCATGTTTAACCTCATGTCATCATTGTTGACTGTTTTTCTCTTCTCTGGTGTCCCACCCACCTGGTTGGGTTGTACTTACACTATGTTTTCTTTCATTTCTCCTCTTGCTGTGTTCTCCAGATGTCAGCAAGCAAAATGAACCAGCAAGACATTTTGGAAAAGCTGAAGAAGGATGTTCGTTCCTTGCTCATCTCATCTAAGATGGGCTTGGACCCCGATCGGCTCAGGAAAGACTATTGCACCATGTTGGGGCACCCCATGCCCCTGAAACAACTGGGCTTCAGACACATCATGGATATGGTGAAGGAGATGCCTGACGTGGTGTCGATTAACTTCAGGCCAGATGGGAGCATATATTTAAAAGGTAGAGTCTACTTATTTGAGCATGTATTTGTCTCAGTTCAGCATTGAATAATAATAATAAACTAAAGCATAGCTATGTTCAACACATAAGTCCTCTTAAATATCTGCCTATCACAAACCTGAACAAGTTAAGCTTCATGCTCTCACCTTTATATGGGCGCCTTGCAGCTATTGGCGACGATTCCACCCGAAACATTGAGGAGCTCGTGGCTAAGCAGCGCACGTCTAAGGCCGACACGAGGAATAGGAGGGGTGTCAGCTACTTCTCGCCCCGCAACTCTTACCTGTCCCCCCAAGTGGTCCTTCCAAGAAGAGGTCGTGCTCCTCCAGCTGTTCCTGCTCAGCTGAGGACACAGCTTCGCTTACTGCTCTCCCAGGTATGACTTGAAGGTACTCCGTGAAGTTTTGTTTTCTCTAGCCTCATAATGTCTGAATTGTGTACATGAATTTTGCAGTGCACTATTCAAACGAACTCTGCAAAATCAGAGAAGAAGAGCCGTGAGTGACTGTTGTGCTTGTTTATTTATTTTTCTGACAAAATCATGGAGCTCTGTTACTGCAAAATGTTTTCTTGTTTCAAGTTACCATGTGCCCGCTCTTACAGGGTCCATTGAGGTTGTCTGACCTGGAGTCCACCTTCCTGCGCTGCTTTGGCCAGCCGCTGCGTGTCCACAAGTACGGCTTCTATTCCACTGGAGAGATGCT